CCACCCCCGCCGTGCCCCCCCGGTGCCCGCCCGGTGCCCGGTGCCCGCCGCCCCCCCCCGCGCCCGACGATGCCGGTGGCCACGGTGACGCCGGTGCTGGCCGTGACCTCCGCGCCCACGGTAATGGCCCGGGGGGGGCGGGGGTGGCACCGGGCCGGGGGGTCCCCGTGCCCACGCGGGGGTCCCCGTGCCCACGCGGGGGTCCCCGCAGGCCGGCCGCGAGTACTCGCCCGCGGCCACCACGTCCGAGAACGGCGGCGGGAAGAGGAAGCAGAAGGAGAAGGAGCTGGACGAGCTCAAGAAGGAGGTGAACCTGGTGAGTGGGGACAGCGGGGACAGCGGGGACAGCGGGGACAGCGGGGAGGAACGGGGACAGTGGGGAGAGCGGGGAGAAACGGGGAGAAACGGGGAGAAATGGGGAGAAATGGGGAGAAACGGGGACACTGGGGACAGCGGGGACAGCGGGGAGGAACGGGGAGAAACGGGGAGAAACGGGGACACTGGGGACAGCGGGGACAGCGGGGAGAAACGGGGACAGCGGGGAGAGCGGGGAGGAACGGGGACAGCGGGGACAGCGGGGACACTGGGGACAGCGGGGACAGCGGGGAGAAACGGGGACAGTGGGGAGAGCGGGGACAGCGGGGAGGAACGGGGAGAAACGGGGAGAAACGGGGACACTGCTGACAGCGGGGACAGCGGGGAGAAACGGGGAGGAACAGGGAGAAACGGGGAGAAACGGGGAGAAACGGGGACACTGGGGACAGTGGGGACAGCGGGGAGGAACGGGGAGAAACGGGGAGAAATGGGGAGAAATGGGGAGAAACGGGGACACTGGGGACAGCGGGGACAGCGAGGACAGCGGGGAGGAACGGGGACAGATGGGGAGAAACAGGGAGAAACAGGGACAGACAGGGACAAATGGGGAGAAACGGGGAGAAACAGGGACAGACGGGGACACGGAGGGGACAGGGGGACACGGAGGGGACAGGGGGACAGAGGACAGAGAGGGGACAGCAAGGGGACAGTGAGGAGACATGGGGACAGAGGGACAGGGACAGAGAGGGGACATGGGACAGAGGGGACAGGGGACAGGAGGACACAGGGACAAGGGACATGAGGGACACTGAGACCATGGGGACATGGGGGACACCGGGGGCACAGGGGACAATGACAGGGACAGGGGACATGGGGAACGTGGGGGACACGGGGGACACGGGGGACAATGGGACAATGGGGACATGGGGGACACAGGGATGGTGGCCCTGTCATTGCATGCCTGGGGACACAGGTGACGTGGGTGATGTGTGGGACATGGGCGACACTGGGACCATGGGGACATGGGTGACATGGGACGCCAGGGACAGCTGGCTGTGCCATCCCATCCAGAGGGACGTGGGTGACATGGGGACATGCCACCCTGCTGGGGTGACTGGGGTGACGGGGACAGCTGTCCCATGTCACCCAGCTGAGGTGACACACGCGGGTGACGTGGGCCGTGTGGAACTCGGGGGACAGCTGGCGTGCCACCCCAGCCAGAGGGACAGGGGTGACATGGGGCCATGGGCACAGTGGCCACACCGCCCTGGCTGGGGTGACACGGGTGACAGGGGTGGCATTTGTCCCTCAGGATGACCACAAACTGTCCCTGGATGAGCTGGGCAGGAAGTACCAGGTGGACCTGTCCCGGGTGAGATGTCCCTTTGTCCCTGTGTCCCACTGTCCCTGTGTCCCATGTCCTGGTGTCCCCGTGTCCCCATGTCCCCATGTCCCCATGTCCCCATGTCCCCATGTCCCCGGTGTCCCAGTGTCACCGTTTCTCGGTGTCCCCATGTCCCGGTGTCCCTGTGTCCCCATATCCCCGTGTCACGGTGTCCCCGGTGTCCTCGTGTCCCAGTGTCACCGTGTCCCGTGTCACGGTGTCCCAGTGTCCTGGTGTCACAGTGTCCCCATATCCCCATGTCCCAGTGTCCCCATGTCCCCGGTATCCCCGGGGTCTTGGTGTCCCTGGTGTCCCCATGTCCCCATGTCCCTGTGTCACAGTGTCCCGGCGTCACCGTGTCCCCATGTCCCTGTGTCCCGGTGTCACCGTGTCCCGTGTCCCCATGTCCCGGTGTTGCAGTGTCCCTATGTCCCGGTGTCCCTCTATCCCCGTGTCACGGTGTCTCCATGTCCCCATGTCCCCATGTCCCTGTGTCCCGGTGTCCCGTGTCCCCATGTCCCGGTGTCACCGTGTCCCGTGTCCCCATGTCCCCGGTGTCGCAGTGTCCCCATGTCCCGGTGTCGCAGTGTCTCCATGTCCCGGTGTCACCGTGTCCGTGTCCCTGTGTCCCAGTGTCCCCTGTGTCCCCATGTCCCCGGTATCCCTGGGGTCCCAGTGTCCCCAGTGTTGTGTCCCATGTCCCCATGTCCCCGGTGTCACAGTGTCCCCGTGTCCCATGTCCCCATGTCCTGGTGTCCCCATGTCCCGGTGTCACCGTGTCACCGTATCCCATGTCCCCATGTCCCCGGTGTCCCATGTCCCCCCGTCCCGGTGTCACCGTGTCCGTGTCCCGGCAGGGCCTGACCAACGCTCGCGCCGCCGAGATCCTGGTGCAGGACGGTCCCAACGCGCTGACGCCGCCGCCCACCACGCCCGAGTGGGTGAAGTTCTGCCGGCAGCTCTTCGGCGGCTTCTCCATCCTGCTCTGGATCGGCGCCATCCTCTGCTTCCTGGCCTACGGCATCCAGGCCGCCATGGAGGACGAGCCCTCCAACGACAACGTGAGGGGACGCGGGGACACCGGGGGCACGGGGCACACGGGGGGGACGGGGGGTATGGGGACACGGGGGACACTGGGGACACTGGGGGCACGGGGGACACGGGGGACACTGGGGGGACCGGGGCCATGGGGACACTGGGGACACTGGGGACACTGGGGACATGGGGACACGGGGGACACGGGGGACACAGGGGGGACCGGGGGTATGGGGACACCGGGGACATTGGGGACACCGGGGGTATGGGGACACTGGGGACATGGGTGACATTGGGGACACTGGGGACACTGGGGACACCGGGGACACTGGGGACACGGGGGGGACCAGGGGTATGGGGACACGGGGGACACTGGGACACTGGGGACAAACAGGGACA